GCTGCTTTTCTGCACATAAAATCTAGAAATCTACCCAGAATATGCAATTTATTTTATTTGACCCTTTCACTCTGAATATTGGCGTCTCCGCTACTGGCTAGCTCATCGTACTCTCTCCTCTCTGATTTAGTACAAGGAAGCTCATCTAGACAGTCTCTGACTTTCACATATGCTGCATGTGTATGGGCAAGGAGTCTGAACGTTTACCATAATGTAAGGAGATTCTGTCCCCAGAGAGATAAAACCATTATAAATCCCTAATTGCATCTTGCCTTTTGGATAATTTGACGGTGTGTGTTTCTAGCATTCTTTTTTAATAGCCATACAAACCTCTTAAAAACTTTTTTTATTATGGACAATTTCAAATATATACAAAAGTAGATGGAATAGCATAATGTACCTCTATTTCATGTATCTTTTGCTGTGTAACATACCACTCTAAATTTTGTGATACAAATCAAGAACAATTTTACTATGTTCACGGATTCTGAAGGTGAGGAATTTGGATGGCGAACAGTTGAGATGGCTTGTTTCAGCTCCACAGTGTCTGGGGCTGGTGTGATTTGAGTCATTGGGGCTGGAGTCATCTGCAGATTTCTTCACTCACACGTCTGCTCTGGGGCTGGGATGACTTGAAGGCTGAACTTAACTAAGGTTGTTGACTAGAGCATCTGATACACATGGCCCCTCCTTCTGACTTGTGCTTCTCATAATATGGCAGCTGGTTTCCCAGAGAGAGCATCTTGAGAGGAAGTGTCTGGAGAACAAGTATACCAATAGATTCAGGTGGGAGCTGCATAGCTTTTTATGACCTAGCTTCAAAAGTCACATTGTGTCATTTGTTATGCCATAGGCTTATAAAAGCCTACCCAATATTCAAGGGGATGTGACACAGATTTCCACCTTTCTAGGGAAGGATAGAAAGGTCAAATTACAGAAGAATATCTGAGATGGAAACTATTGTCACTGCCATATTTGGAAAATAAAATCTACAGCAACCATTACTTAACGATCTCCCAACTTTAATAAGTGTTCATTCTTGTTTCATCTATACTCACACTCGCTTTCCTCTTCTTGCTGAGTTTGTTTGGAAGCAAATCCCAAACATCATATCAGCACACCCATAAAGACTTCAGTATGTGTCTCTAAAAGATGAGGATTCTTGAAAAATAGCCACAATGCCATTATCCACCTTAAGAAAAATAACTTGTTTAATATCATTAAATATCCAGTCTGTGTTTCCCTGATTGCCTCATAAACGCTCTTAAATAAAGTTTATTTGCTTGAATTGGGATTGAAATAAGATTATTTCTAGAATTTTTGAATAGGTTCTTTAGTATGAGCTTTTCTTTCAGAAGTGAAAGCACATTTGGCCTGCTTACTACATCTGAAGAGCATAAGATTGAAGATAAATATTTGTTTTAATCAACACTAATAGTTTCAGACCTGGTTGCAAATGAAGTAAGTTAATGAGACCCATGTTTCTAATTAATAGTATTTTACATTTTCTATTCATTTTGTGAAATAATAAAAAAAAATCCAATGCAACATTTAAGTAATTATACAATCACTCTTGAACCAACTATTCAATAAAAGTTGTAGAAGCAACTGCCAGCTCGTTGCCCACTCCAACATTACTCAGGCCACAATCTGGAGGCAATCAGTGGCTCTTACAAGGTCTTAGTCACCAACACTAAATAGGTTCCACCAACAAGAACTGTCTCCTACACAGCCCACTTTCCTTATTAACATCTTATCTGAAGTCAACAAAGCAGAGAATACTTTCACTCTACTTCATAGCACTTATTTCTTCAAAGAGCTCAAAACTATTTGATGCCTGGCCAAAAGTCAAGAACATAGTAGAGTGTCTAGCCTTAGGATAGGAAACCTCTGCCCTATCTCCCTACCTCAAAGGCTTTCCTATGTCTAATGCATTTTCTTCAATTGTCCCTTCTGTGTCCCATATTTGTTTACACTTTTTACAGAGCCTGGGGGTAACAATAAGTAATGTCCCACTTAATTCACAGTAGTATGCTTTCTTGGCATGAGTATAATTACTAGGGTCTTCCAGGGTCTTCATCATCGCAGAGACAGGTAACCAAAACTGGGCCGTCAGCTCTCCTCTGAGGGCCTTTGAATAATCCTTCAGTTGACACTATAATAGTTATTGTGTAAACCCCTGGGCCTTATGAGTCTTATTGTAGGGACACTTCTTGCTTTCTCTGACACCCTCTGGCTCACTTAGTGGCTGCAGGTATCCATTTTCTTACAGACACAGAGAGACACATATTTATAGGATATATATAGACATATGCTTAATAGAAGAAAATTAGAAATCCTGTCTATAACTATAGAGAAATGCACATCCTAGTTCTATAAAGAGACGCCTACACAAGAGAAGAAACAGAACATCTACAGTTTGCCTTCTTAAAATATAAATCTGATCATATTACATCCCTTCCCCCAAGCTTGAAACCCTTTCAATGGCTTCCCATTGCTCCAAGGATATCTCTAGATCCTGCAATGTCAGTCTCTACGTCTCTAGCTGCCCCTCTCTCTGATCCAGCTGCTCCAGCCTTCTCTCAATCCCTTACACCCCATGCTCTCCTACCTTCGCATATGCCATCTCCTTAGCCCCAAATGATTCCCCACCACCACTCCCTCTTAGTTGTTAAATCATCTTTCAGGTTTCCACTTAAGCATGACCTCCACAGGAACTCCCCCTGCTCCCAAATTCAAATACTCACACATACATGTGTAAAGCACCATGATCATCTTTGGAGCATCTACCACACTTGTAATTTTACTTTTGTGTGATTTTTTTAAATGTCGTCTGCCTCCCCAGTAAGACTAGAAGCTCCAGAGTGCAGGGACCATTCCGGCTTACTGCTGCCTAGCTGAGTGCTTGGCACATAGTAAGCACCCAATAAATATTTCAGTGATGAGATGAATAAATGAATATGTGAAAGGAACTTTGAAAACAGCATGTACTCTGTACATGTTAACTTCTTTCTCTCCAGCCCCTAGTACATATTTCATGCCCCTTAAAACTGCAAAGTGTCTAATTATAATTAGTTTCTGAAATGACAATTTCTATTTATATCATTGCATATTCCTCCTCCGATATGCCCATATATTCCTCTTAACTGGCACAGTAAATCAAAACAACTTGGATCCGGGAGACAACAACTCATCTGATCTCAATCAACAGATCATCATGTATGCAAGTCTCTTTTCTTCGCTTCCTCATTTATGTTTTCCCAGTTTCCATATTAGTAACTCACATGTGGACCACACCAGCCCACATCTCAGCATGTCATAAGGATTCACTACTTAGAAAACTCACAATGATCCACTCACAATGATTCAAATCGCCCAAATATTCTAAAGAAATCAGTGTAATTTGCAACACAACAAGGGCTTGGGGTGGGATGTAGGATCAATGTCATGACAAGGCAGAAAGAGCCTAGGCATCTGCTTTTTTATCTCCATGTCTGCCATCATATGATTTCCTGGTAGCTTGGGGTTTCCATATGAATTTTTTTCTTATGTGTAATTGTAGGACATCAACTTGATTCCCACTGCAAAACAGTAACTGATATATACACACAAAAATTCTCCAAACTGTAACTTTCCTCAATTAACTATCCATTTAACTTTTAAATTGCTTAAGAATAGACAGATCTATTCAAACTAGATATAAATTTCAAACAATTCATTTTTATTTATTGCTTTATTGATGATGCAATCTAAGTGGAAAATTCTAAAGGTTTTGGTGTTATGTGCTTCTTCAACAAATATCTATTGGATACCTACTAAGTGCCAAGTGTGATGCCATGGGTTTGATGAGTGTAGTAGATAAGACAAATCTTGCCTCTGATTTCACAGAGTTTATAATCTAGCAGATGAGACCAACATAGACCAACATTTATAGTGCTAACAAATGTGGTATGTTCTAGCAAGTTGAAGAGGCTGTCATGGTGTCACCAGGAGATGTCAGCTGCCTGGAGTTTCAGGCAAAGATTCTTTGAGGAAATTGCATTTCAGTTGAGACAGGCCACTATCTGCTTCGGGTTGTGTAACTACCTTCACATCCCAGTTCTGACACTTGGACATGTTAATGTCTCAGAGCTTGGTTTCTCTTGTAAAATAAGGATAATACACACCTGGCAGAGTTGTGAAGAGTAAGAGAATACAGATAAAGCACCTTTTAGGGTATCAGCCATATAGCAAGCCTTAAGTGCATGGTGTTTGTTATATATCAATGTAAGTATCAAAGGGAAACCAAAGAAAAATTTGACCAACAGCTAAAGATGAATGTACAGAGGAGAAATTTGGTAAAGGCTCCAAATTCAAGGAACAGCCACTACCCCACACTTGTTTGGAGCCTTCATGTCCTGAGTTTTAGATATTGGAGCACCGGATGCTTTAAGGCTCTGCTAACTGCGGTTTTCATGAGAAGTTGATAAGGAATCTTTGGAGGTGTTCCTTCCAGCTACAGGTTTGCCAATGCCCAGGTCAGATCTTTCAGGCAAAAGTAAGATGCTTGGGAAACAGCTCGCTGGCCAGAGGACACAAGGGTTAATCAGATTTTGGCAGGCTCAAGTGACAAGCAAGTCAGATGACGAGACAAGAGATGAATTCTCAACTAAATCCTCAACTAAAGGGTCAGAAGACCTAGCGCCACCCGAATGGGACCTGGAAGGGGAAAACACTGCTGTTGCCACTAGAGCGCATAGGACGCTGTGCTTCGGGAAGCTGCCCTGGGATGCCCCGCGCTCTTCACAGGGCGCTCTCTTCCCAGGCTTCCTGGGCGCTTGGATCCTAGCCATGTCTGCACCTTTCAAATGCGTGTGAGTGATTTCATAAGTGGACGTGACCGCCACCGAGGGGAAAGCGTGCAAGGAAGTGGGAATGAGCGGGGGAGGCGGAGAAGAGGAGCAGTGGGAGGGGTGCAGGGCGCAGTGGGAGGGGGAAGGCGGAGCGGGCGGGTGGAGGAAAGAAGAAAAGGGCGCTGTGGTTTGGCGAGAGGAAGTGCGCGAGCTTGACTCTTGCTGCGCGGCTGCTCGCGGGTTGGCCAGCAAGGTGAGCCCGAGATGTCGCTGCGCTTGAAGCCGGGGCTGCCGCTGCCGCCGCCGCTGCTGCTGCTCCTGGGGCCGCTCGTTGTCTTCTACTCTCGCGCCCAGGCGGGACCCGCGCAAACAGAGGACGCCGTGGAGCTGGACTTCTCCACCGAGCGGCCGGTGCACCTGGTGAGCCCTGAGTTCCTGTCTTTCACCATCGACGCCAACCTGGCCACGGACCCGCGGTTCCTAACCTTTCTGGGGTAAGCGCCTGCCTGCGGGTCCCGGTGCCCCTGTGCCCTTTCCTGTCCTGACATCCACGGCCACTCGCCTCCTCTCCTCTCTTCTTCTCTTTTGTCTCTTTTGCCATTCTCTCTCATTCATTCTCTCTCTCTCTCTCTCGAAAATTTGTGTGCAATTAACAAAAATTATTAAGTATGCTATGATACATATCTCCTCCTCCTCCCCGTCTCTCTCTTTCTCTCTCTCCCTCCCTCCCTCTATACTGCGCTTGCCTCCCGACTTCATTCATTCAGCAAGTGCTCACCGAGTGCCAACTAAGAGCCAAGTATTAAAGAGAAACAGAAATCGGAGAAACTTCCCCACTGCCCCAGCAACGCCCGGAAGAGGGACCCGGGCAAGTGCACCTGGAGGGCTGTGAGCGCTTGAATTTGCTGCACGGTGTAGGACAAGTGAGACTGTGGACCAGGTTTCTGTCTCTTAAACTGTTAGGAAGGTTTTACACACACACACACACACACACACACACGGTCAAATGGAAAAGACCTTAAAGAATAAGCTTACTTACTCTACATATATATTTAAAAATTTTTTAATTATATATAATATATGTATTTTAAATAACTTTTAAAGAGCAGTTTTAGGTTCACAGCTAAAATGAGCACAAATTACAGATTTCCCATACTACACTTTTTAAAAAAATCTAAATATCAAATAAATGAGACCTGGAAGGCTATTGCAGTGACTTACAGAGCCTTATTAAAAAAATACCTCTCCAAGATGAGGCTGAAAATTGTGGCACTGCTTTATCGGCTGTAATATCTGTCTCAACTGGGAAAGACCAAACCCGGTACACTGGCCCCTACCCCATGAGTGCAGGCTGATCCCAAGCTGGGGAGACTACAGAGGTCCCAGGCCATCTAAGCCACTCATCTAGGTCATAAGAGCCTCCAGAGATGGCTACACCGCAACCAACCCAGGCAGCTGGGAATCCCACCATTGCCAAATGCCTACATCCTGTCCTTCCTGTGCCATTACTAATTTGAGTCATTTATTCTGCAACTAAAAGCAGGTAGCCTACTGGTTAAGAAATTGGCAGTCAGATTACACTGGCTTGATTCCCAACTCTGCCAAAGCTGAGTGGCTTCGTTACCTGGCAACTCCAGCCTCAATTTCCTCGCCTCTAGAATGAAACTTCTGTAAAAACTTTCTCCTATTGTTATGAGGATTTGATGAGATAATACATAAATATTTAGCACAGTGTTTGACACAAAGTGTTCGTAATTTAAGCTAATTGCTTCTTTCTGAAAAATGTCAAATATTTGCTAACCATTCACCAGTTCTCTGTGTGTTTCTTTTGATCATAGTTAACCTCCATCTTTCCCCCTGCGGCAGGAGAGGGAGAATTTCCTGGTGGAGAGAAGTCTCATTTTTTGTCCTCCCCTTTAGAGATAAAAAGCTGATACAGGAAGCAGCCGGTTGGGAGACAGAAAGATTACTCTGGAGAAACACTGAAGTGTAAGGCTCCATATCTGAGGCCCCAGCCCCAGCTTGAGGGGAGAGGGTGACAGGAGAAGAAAAGATGTGAGGGTACTTGACTGAAAACTGAGAGATTAAGTAAATGACCACTTAATGAATTGTGAGAACTCAAGTCCTATTTTGCTGCTGAAGCCAGCATATGCCCACCTCTCCCCCAAGGAAGGGCATTTACGGATTCCTTCCTGGAGAAACTGGTCCAAAAGAAAAAAACGTACTTTTGGGGGCCAGGCCTGATCACCCTGTAGTCAAACTAAACAATTGACTAGCACCTAACTCCACCCCCACCCCGCACCACCCCCCCACCCGCCCAAATACACACAGAACTTCCAGTCTGCCATTTAGTGAGTGCGATACCTTTGCCTCTTCTTAAACCTAGTCTCTTCATTTCCCAAAGCACTGTTTCTTCCTCTCTGGCCCCTAGCTTTTTGTTAAAGGATGGCTGATAATGAAAACCAAAAAAGCATAGCATGCAATCAATTAAACTGCTTTTTGGTTTACCAAACAGTGTATTACTATTCATGTGGGCTTCTCTCCAGGGCTGGCTCCTGGCTACTCCAGGTTCCTTCTTTAGCAAAAGCTGTCTTCAAGGATGTCCCAAGAGGCATCTGCAAGCACACCCACTCTCTTCCTAGCTGAGATCTAAAAGACTGCAGCTCAAAGAGGCAAGAGCTCCCTCTCCTTCTCATCTATGACCTAGCTTTTGAATTAGGGTCTGAGGATCCGACTCCCCAGGATGGTTAGCACAGTGCCCAGAGTATCTTGGCCATCTCAGCTGACAAAACATTTAGCTTTCATCTCAGAAGACAACACTAAGCTTAATATCTGTTCACAAGAGCAGAGGGTGAGATGAGCCTTGGTTTATTACAGTTCCTCAAAAATGAAGATGCTCTGGTGAAGACTGCAAGAGCTAAGCAAATGAAAGCCGAAGTAATAAGAAGGAGAGGATAATAAACCTAGCTGATGCTAATTGAGCCTTTGTCATATGCCAGGCCCTGTTCTAAGCACCTCTGAGGTATTAATTTAGTCCTTGATACAAAACTCTGAGGTCAGTACTATTATTATCCCCATTATAAAAATGTAGAGATTGGGCCTTAGGGAGATACAATAACTTGCTCATGGTCAGCCAGCCATTACAGGAAGGAGCAGAATTTGAAAACAGAAGCTAATTGCAGAACCGAGATTACACGCAAAAAAGTAAAGCAGTTTATATATTTTTAAAGGCAACAGGGTAGGATACTGTAGAAAAAGATTGTCCAGAAACAAATTGGGAAGATTGATATAATGAAAAGAAGCACTGACCTGAGAGCAGAGGATTGGGGTACTTCTAAAGTCCCTCCCAAGAGGCCTAATCAAATTTATCAGACGGCATGGTTCTATTTCCCATGATGACAAACAGATGTGTGTTTTTTTTTTCACATTTGCATTTAGAAAACATAGAGTACACAGAATTTAAATGACAATGATAGAACAATCTAGAATTGTAAAGAAGCATCATTCGGTTTGCCCTCTTCCCAGAGGTATAATCAACAACACAATCAAGAACTACCTAAGCCTGACTATGCAAAGCTCTAAAGATGCCCTAGACCTCAAGGATGGGAGGGTTGAGACCAGCACTGCTCGATAGAAACAGAACGTGAGCCTCATATGCAAGCTACGTATGTAATTAAAAATTTTCTAGTGCCATGTTTAAAAAAGGTAAAAAGAAACAGGTGAAATTAATTTTAATAATATATTTTATTTAACATAAACTATCTAAAATAATATTTCAACATGTAATCAATATAAAGATATTAATGAGATGTGTTACATTCTTTTTCGAACCAAGTCTTCAAGATTTGGTATATATTTTCTACTCACAGCACATCTCAATTCAGACTAGCTACATTTCAAGTGCTCAACAGTCATATGTGGCTAGTGGTTACTGTACTGGGTGGTGCAGTCCCCATTTCAGTGTAGAGTACTAAGTCAGTGGCAGAGATGACAGTACTACAGAGCAAAAATGTGGTGCTTGCTTTTCAGCACCTGGTATTCCTAGGTGGTCTCCCATCCAAGTACTAACCAGGCCCAACCCTGCTTAGCTTCACGAGATCAGATGAGATCAGACTTGTTCAGGGTGCTATGGCCGTTTGGCCTACTTTTTAAAACAACCTTTACTCAGTGCTGTACTGGAACCAGCTTGCACCAGCTGTGAAATGTGTGCATCTCTTTCCAACTCCCTATTCAGTGATATCAACACTGGTAGCTTGAAATCAGCCCTGGTGGGAATATTTACACCATGGACATTGGCAAACATTAAAAAATATGTCACTTTTTTTCAAGGAACTAGCTTACTAGCACACACTGCTTCACTTCACTGCAGCCATTTAATGTCACAGCCGTGAAATGACTCTTTTTATCCCTAAGAGTCTTTCAGCATCTGAAATCTTAAGTTAAAATCTCTCATTCTTGGACTATACTTCGTACTCTCTTAGCTCTTTCATTCTGTGGATCCCACCACGACTATTTTTTAAGTACCTCCACTGAACAGCTTCCTCTTCTCTCTACTTCTTCGGTATCAGGGCTTCTTATTTCGGACTTGCTGATTTATCATATGAACCACTTTTGTGATAATATCCCCACATCCCTGCCCCATTTTTCCTGTTAAAATCCCCAACCTAACTTACTCTGACTATATTTTCCCTCTTTGGAATCTTTAGGGTGGCCATAAATTCTAAAAATGAAAGATATTATTTGATCATGAATTGTAATACATGTTAATAAACCATATTTATGTATTTGCCTCTCCTTCGAGCCTCAGTGTCCGCCCTATTTAGCTGGGCTATTGAGCCTGTGGGGGTGGAAGGGAATCTCCCAGCCATGCAGATTGATGTCACACTATAAATTCTTGGCCTCCAGACTTACTTGGCTCTTAGTGCTACCCCTTAACTCTTCACCTCCCTGCCTCCCTCATTCTCTACTTCCTTTAAAACTCTGATCCCATCTCTACCTCATCACTCATAGCCTGTGAACACATTTCTGTTTCCCAAAGAAAATGAAGTCACTAGACAGGAACTTCCTTTTCTTCCTGACATCAAAACTGCAGACATATCACGGCTATGTCCACCTTTCTTCCTTTCTCTCTTCTTAGGCCAGTTCTTCCGCTCTGCTCTGAATCCTGTCCCCTCCTACTTCCCAAAAGACTTTGTTCTATTAGTCATTTCTTCTCTTACCTGTATCTTTAACCTCGTTCTTTTTATCTCTTAGTATAGAAACATCTTCAAGCCTTTCCCATCCCAAACACCTCCCTGCACATATGCCTCTTTCTCTCTTCCCCCTTTGGAGCTTTCCTTACGGCCCATTCCTTCCTTGTTCCACTCTCATGATGACCCCATCATTGTGTCATCAAGCCAATCTCTTCAACATCATCAATGACCTTCTTTTATTACAAAATCTAACGAACACTTTTCAATCCTTATCTTATTCTTTCTGTTATGGGTTGAATTTTTGGATGTCCTCCCAAAAATTTATGTGTTGAATTCCTAACCCCTAGTATCTTACTATGTGAACTTACTTGAAAATAGTTTCATTGCAGACACAATTAGTTAAGAACTGGTCATATCAGAATGGGCTGAGCCCTAATCCAATGTGACTGATGTCTTAAAAAGGGGAATCTGGAGACAGACATGTACACAGAAGGAATGCCATGTGAAGATTAGAGTTATGCTGCTACAAGGAATGACCAGAAGCTATGAGAGATCCTTCCTCAGTGCCTTCAGAGGGAGCATGGCCTTGCCAACACCTTGATTATCAATTTCTAGCCTCTAGAACTATAAAACAACAAATTTCCCTTGTTTAAACCACCTAGTTGTGGTACTTTGTTACTGCAGCTTTAGCAAATTAATACAGTCTTCTGGAAGCATTTAGCAATGCTGACAATTGAAACATTTTCTCATCCCTTTGGGTAGGTGTCATTTCCATTTCCAGGGGTGTCCCCCACCTCTCTAACAGTTCTTCCCCATCTCTTTCTTTACCTTGTCTTAAACATTGATGTTCCTCAGACTTTAGACCTAGACCTTGTTGCACTTCATGTAATCTGAGTGGTCTCACCCACTTCCATGGCTTGAATTACTCTTTCTGCAGGAGTGTGCTAGGAAATGTTTAACAACTAGATCTCTAGGAGGAGGGAGACTGATGTCGGTTTTTTCCCTTATTTTTGTGGTATAAATAATCCCACCATGGCTGATCTCTAACTTCCAGCAGTTTAACAGGGGTTCTCAAAGTTTAACCACTGGCTCTCACGAGGTAGTAGGAACCAGTACAAAGCCGGCTCCAGCACACCTTTGCTTTTGTGTCAGACATAAGCAACTTATTTTTACATAAGGTAAGATAAAAATACCTGCAGACTTTTCTTTCCCCTAACAATCTGTTCCGGAAATGGAATATCCTTTTGTTATTTCCATGGCACTGTGGTGGTGGTAGATTTTTTTTTTTCCCTTTCTTGTTCCTGTGTATGATAGAAATACTGTACCTTTGATCAATTTTTTTGACATGTTTTACAGATGTTTTAAATCTGATTTTTGTCAGAGAACATAAATATTGTATTCTCAAAATAAGAAAATATTCCATTGCAAAGAAGACAAACAGAAAGGTCCTTAAATACTAATACTTTGAAGCATGTGATTTCCTTTACTTGGCAGGAGCCATAGCATTCATTGGGTTTCAATTTTGTTTAGAAAACAAAATTGTCTGGCCCCACTTGCCCTTTCAGCAGGCTGGACTTGACTGTTCATTCACTTAAACAGTATTTATTAAGCACAAGCTGTGTGCCAGGCACTAATCTAGATGCTTCTCTAGATGCTACAGAGATTCTGATGAGCCAGAAAGGTAAGGTCTCTGCTTTTACTTCAGGGGAGGGTCTGGCATAGATAGTAAACCAGAGAAACAAATAAAGAGCTAATTTCAGAGCGGTGAATGCTGCAAAGGAAATAAAGGTAGGACAATGTGATGGAGAGTGACCCAAGGTGGTACATTCAATACCTGTCCTCAGGCATCTGCCCCCAGCCGTGCACAAATGCACATCTATGATGCCACAGCTCCTTCTGCTTGGTGCTAGTTTTACTTCCACTTCCCAGAGAGCACCAGCCTCTCACCAGTTTACAAATACCATTCACACTGATATAAATGAGCTTCCTCTACCATCAAACACAACCAAAATGCCAAGGACCAGAATCAGCATCTGGCCAAAGGCAGTAGAACAAGATCATCCTGGAGTGACTCTGAGGAAGTGCCTTGTATCAGTTTTAGGGCCATGTCTCCTCATCTGTGAGCTGGGGTTACTAGTCACCGACTCAGACGGAGGACTCTCCATCCTAATACCTTACCTGTGTATCTTCTGAGCTCCAGACACACGTGGCCAAAGGCCTGATGGAAACATGTTTCAGCCTGATGAAAGGGCAAGTGTTGCATTGGCATCTAGAATTCTACAAAACTGAGTCCTCTCCCCCACCCCTTCATCCCTATCTCTAAGCTGTCACATATTCTTCATCTCGGCAAATAATATTACCTTCTTCCAAGATGTTTCCCATAGGTAATTCTTGACTCTTCTCCCACATCCAATTAAATACCAAATCCATGTTTCTACCTCCACATGTATCTTGAATTTATCCGCCTCTCTCCATTACCTCACCTCACCTCGGCCCATTACTTTCTGTCCACGTTAACATGACCCCAGTCTTGGTCCTGCTATTCATTTATTTACACTGCAGCCTGAGATGCTTTTCTAAAAGAAAAGTCTGGTGAGCTCACTCAACTGCTTTGAATCCTTCCACGGCTCCCCATTGTACTCTTAGACATGGTGACTTACGGGCCTTCCTCGATATGGTCCTGCTTATCTGCTTATCCTCTCCCAGCAACTCCACGCTCCACTCTCTAGGCTCTGCACACACCTGTCAGCCCTTCAGTGGTGCCATATGCTCTTAGGCCTCTAGTTTTGCACAGGCTTTTCCCTACGCCTGGAATAGTTCCTTCGATCCCACCTCATTATCTTTGATCTGGATGAGATTTATTCCTTGCAGATGTCCAACAGTGAAGGCCCTTCCCCTGGGAAACCTCTAACCACCCCTTGCCCCCAGCCCAAAGTTTCGGTTAATGTCCCCTTTGTTCTCATAGCACCGTTTGGGAATTGCCTGTTTACTTGTTCATCTATATCATGAAACTATAAATTACATGAGGACAGCAGCTGTGTCTGTCTCATTTGCTGTCGTATCCCCAGCCATGAGCATGATGCCTCCACAAAGTGGGCCTGTGGTAAATATTTATTGAAAACTTAATGGACGGCTATGTCTCCTTTAAGTAAATTTTTGTTTCTTCGTCTATTCTTAAACACACACACACACATACATACATACACAGAAACACACTCACTAAACCACCCTGTATAAATTAAAATATCATGTGCTTATTATAAAAAACTTGTAAAATACAAAAAAAGCAATAGAAAAGAGTCTATCATCCATCTTACCACACAGTAATCACTGTTATCTCCTTCTATAGGTATTGTTTTCATTGTTGAAATGACACTATGTCTACAGTTTGTTCATCTTATTGTGGTAAAATATACTAAACAAAATTTGTCATTTTAACCATTTTTAAGCATGTAGTCAGTCCACTGGCATTAAATACATTCACATTATGGTGCAATCATCACTACCATCATGTTAGAACTTTCACCTTCCGAACTGAAACTGTACCCATTAAACAATAATGCTCTATTCCCCCTCCCTACAGTTTATTTCTTTGGGTTTATAGCAGAATGGAACTGGTTTTTTTCTGAATCCTTGCTTAGTCCAAGTTAGCATCTCCATTTATTTTTAAGTGGTTTTGAGAACCCCATGGCAGATGCCATCCTTCTAGAGTTCTGGTGCTGTCAGGTATTTCAGTCAGGGCGAATTCCAGGCCGATTACATTTCTGAAGTCTCACTTTGTGTTACACTTCCTCGTGCCAGATCCACATATGTTCAAGGGCTAATGAAAATACTTTAACTTCTTTTAAGATCCATAGACTCCAAGAAAATAAACTTTTAGGTCAAAGAAAATGTTTTAACATATAATATTGGCATATTTAACTTTAAATAAATAAATAGTTTCATAACATATAATTTAAAAAAAAAAATTTGTGGAGAAACAGGCTCGTGAAGGAAAAAGTGCCTAGATAGTACAATTCTAAGCTCTCAAGTAACGAATATAAATGGTGAGGAGGACTTGCTGAGGTTTTTTAATGCAGGATATTTATTCTTTCGTTAATCTCCATCTTTCAATTTCTCTTTTCTAAGCACAAGTAAATCTTTTGAAAATTTTTCATAGCACTATATATAGTTAAGCAGGAGCACATCTTAAAATTTTAAATTTTAGGTCAGGTCTTTAATTACTAGGATATTGGCAATTAGATATTTTTCCTGGAAAGATTTTTTGATTTGAAATAAACCCAGATGTAAACTAAAATCGGGCCAATCCGAGAACTACACAGCATTGATTTTATGTGTTTTAAGAGCATTCCAGAGAGCAGCGTGGCCAGGATCCCATGCGTGAGACTTCAGAAACGTTTGGCAGGGGTCCCTGTTACCTGGGTCTTCTGCTTTCTTAGTTTTGTTCACTTAAATATTCATGACATCTTCATCCTTCTGAGGGAAGGGATTATAAATCCTTCTAATTCCATTCTGTAGCATCCGGTACCATGCTGAGCACCTGACAGGCACCTATCAGGAGCATTTTTGGCTTGATGAGATATGCATTTGAATTGCTTAAATTGGAGGTGTCAATGATAGGAATTGGAATCTTATATAATTCTAAGCTATTTGACTTAAATTAAAAAAGATTGTTTTCTTCGGGGGAGGTAGTTAGGGAGAGAAGGGAGAATCATAAGTCATTTGTGAACTTCTCTGGGAACATAAATTTTTGAAGACAATCTATTTTTCAAAGAAACACAGAGTCATCTTTCCTGTCATCTTCACTCTCTCACCTCTTTTCCTCCATCAATCATAAGACATTATGAGTTTTTTGAAAGCACTGAACACTATTCTACTTGTCAAGTTAAAATACAACCTCTTGCCGAAGAGCTCCAGGTTGCCTCCAGGTGCCTAGAAGAGCAACCTCGCAATTAGAAACATTCGGATTGAGACGATTCCCCTAATATAGCAACATGACTTCTCTCTCCAAGGCCTGTATAGCTAGACATGAAGAAATAGGTCCACCGAAAGAGAAGGAAGTAAACCTGTTTGACTGGATGATCTTGGAAAACATCATTTTAATTTCTTGCTTATCTTCATAACAGTTCTGCAAAGCTTCGTACTTTGGCCAGAGGTTTGTCTCCTGCATACCTGAGATTTGGTGGCACCAAGACAGACTTTCTAATTTTTGATCCCAAGAAGGAACCAAGCTTTGAAGAGAGAAGTTACTGGCAATCTCAATCCAAGCAAGGTGAAAAAATTTAAAGATTAACCACATATTTTCTTAATTTGAGTCAGTCATGAGCATTCAATAAGAAATGAAGGGCTCCCAACTGACCTGTGGAGGCGCCTACACAGAAAGAGGAGCAGGTTTCCTCCTCCTGATGCTTTCATGAAATGTGAGCCCTCCCATGACAAGGTGTGCTGCGCAGGACTGAGAGTTAACTGCGTAAATAGAACAACAAAGTAGCTGACGGACAGAGCTGCCTAGAGGGAGCATGTGGGTAGAAATGTCTCAAACTGAAGAGAGTAATTTCCAGTTGAAGATGTAATGGGTTGAAACCCATTTATTGTGGAACTAGAATGTGGATGAAAGGCATACCAAGAGGACGTGAGATATACTCTGCTCCTAAGAGAGGATTTTAAGACTTGATTTATTGAGCAATGATTCTCAAACTTTATTGACTATACATAATCTCCTGGAGTGAGTTCGAATATTTGAATACCTGAGTTCCAACCTTAGTTCCCAGTTTAGCAAGCTCCTCCGGTAAGTCTGATATTGGAAGTCTGTGAGCTTCACCTGGGAAACCTGCCCCTAGGGAGCCGCGAGGATTTGCCCCATCTTTCATTAAGTGCCATACAGACATCAAAGGGAAGTTAAATCATTATCTTAAAAATTTTTTTAAATATCATATACATTATGAATTATACTAATATATGTATAATGCATATATTAATGAACATTTCATTTTTTCATATGTTACACATTTTCCTTCTGTTTATTTTTTTCAGTTAGGAAGTATTTAGAACAATTAATCAGTAATTGGGCCAAAATTGATAGAATAGTAATTAGAACAAAAAACAGGAGGATTCTCTTGAAATAATACGTTGGAATAGTTTATGGTTCGATTTGGCCCTTTCCCACCAGTCATATGTCTCGTAAGTGTAGACCAGAAACTGTCCGGAAACTGTCCTTTGCTCATTAACTTTTTTCATCCTGTTTGGGGTGGGGGTGGTCCCTGGGATTATCCAAGTGCCTCTGAAACATTCTTTGTGAGCATGGGGATGGATAAGGCACTGGCTGCCAGAAAACCAGAATGTGCGGTTTCTCAGAAAGGAAGTGGTTGGCATGTTAGCCAGCCCTGGCAGCAAACGCCCAGCATCCCTGCTGTCTTGTGATAAAGAAACACAGTCTGTCTGACAGGATAGTGGTGGATTTTCCAAGTGCACATGTTGTGATCTCAGAAACTTTGATGTTACCGAATTTGAAGGAAAAAAAGTCAACATTTCCTGCCTACCATTATGCCAAGAGGAAATCACCACATATCAGATACAGTCCGCATAAAACAAATTTCTATGTGTTTTGAAGGTGAACCTTAAGAGAACTGAATTATGTTTTCTTCAGTGGGATTCTCTGGTAATTCCAAGTTTTTGAGGAGCCTTCTGAATTGTTAAATAACTTGAAATTATATCCACTGTACCTGTGTCCAATGTTTCTTAGGAAACCTGCCCTTTGGGTATTTTTTGTTTTGTTTTTTTGTTTTGTTTTTGTGGTGACCAGGTAGCCAGAAAATTGGCATACGTAACAGAATATATTTTCTCTGGTTTCATACCTAACAAACAGAAACTTAATTATCCTATTTTAGTCACATAAATAGCCAACTAAATAAATGTATAGGATTTCAACCTCATCAATGTGAAAATAGATTCTCTAAATTATCTTCCATTTGCAGATATTTGCAAATCTGGATTCATCCCTTCTGATGTGGAGAAGAGGTTACAGTTGGAATGGCCATTCCAGGAGCAATTGCTACTCAGAGAACAGTATCAGAAAAAGTTCAAGAATAGCACCTACTCAAGTAAGGAATGAACGGCACCCTGCAGGTGTCCCAGCTCCTAAAATATTTGGATAACTTGAACTTGGGCTTGAATCTGATAAGCCCTATAGCAATTGTACAAAGCTGCATAATACTCAAATATTATCAAGAGTTAATGGGAAAATTTGAACCCCCCAATTTCTTTTCTTTTCTTCACCTGACTTTACCTACTAGCCACAGAATGAAATATAAAAATCATTCATTCGCAAGCTAATAATGACCTAAACTTTTCTGAAGAACTAGGAAATCAAGGAAGATGAATACATTCCTTGTGTAAAAGTAAAATATAAAAGTGTGAAGAATAAAATGCAAAAAGCATTTACACCTTGTCCAATCTCTCTCCCTCCCAGAAGGGATTATAAATTGGAGTATCATTAAGCAGGGGAATCCTGGCTCAGACCAGACAGTCTTGGCCATCAAGCAGCTCTCTCTTTTTCTTTCCTCCGTGGCTTTGCAAAACACGGGACTAGCTCAACTAACTAGAAATTTATTTCCATCCACTGAAACAGTTTTCCAGTCTTCAAAATGATATGACATTGTTACAAAGGGCTTTAAAGCAACTGAAACAAGTGAGCCTTATTTAACTATGAAATGTATTTTTATCTGAAAGTTAATGTTTTATATCTATCTAGGGGATGATGTTGCCCCAGATCTCAGTTAAGAAAATAACCTGCTCAGATACTGTCTGTCTTCTTCTGACTTTTTAAAAATAGATTATCTTGAAGTTAATTTGGGTTAGTCAACATTTCTAAAAGTACATTATTGAAAGTAAATTTTTTATCTTTATAAGATTTTACTGTATAACATCTGGATTTCAGTGTGTCAAATAGATTTTTTATTTTTATATTTTTTATTTATAAAGGACAGAAAAAATGTGACATATAAGAAATGAGAAAATAGGTTATGTGCTAATAGATAATGTAGTTCTCTAAATTATTTTTTGTGTGTTTTAAAGCTGGGGATGGGTGAATACACTGATACATGAATAATATGATCTTTGGTTGAGTGGCATTTGGCATAAAGCAGGGCCATCTCAGATCCCTTAAAGGAGTAATAAAAGTACAAGAGACCCACAGCAACAAAGTCTCACTTGTAATAAATCATTATGATATAGGCCTACTGGGAGAAGACCTCAGAGTATTAGGTAATCTATAGATTCTTGCTTTTTTTTTTTTTTATCATGTTAAACATTACACCAGTTTATCATCAATTTTTCTTTAAAAAAGTTTTGCTACCTCACATGATCTTTCTGAATCCAAGATGGCAGGTTTCCAACATCTTTTCCTGCCTCTGGGACTTGGACATTCATAGTTTCTATACCAAGGGAAATTGCCTTTACTAACTATGTCGTAATTATGTCAGTATAACTCCAGCCACCGTGCTGGCACTGCTAAAATGTACAACAGATACAGATAGTTTATTTATATTTGGAAACATTCGACCTCTGGTTTGAAATTCTCTATTTTAATCTACATGTCTTGGAAACATATAGATAGGAAACTACTGTGTTTATTCTGGGTACCAACTCATTATAATGATAAGTATCTCAGAAGCCATACTCATTACAATGATAAGTATCTCAGAAGCCAATAGGTGTTTCCACACATTGTTCTGCTTTCATGGCTGAGGCTGGTAATGCCTGAGTATCTTAGGGTGGCATCATATGATGGAAGAGATAGTAATAGTCTATTGCAGCAAGAACTCATTAATTGCTTAGTGACCTACACCTTTAAAATGGGTGTCCTAGAAGAAACAGATAGTTTTCTAATTATAGAGCCCATTGCGTGGTGTGTTTCACTTAAGTAGAAGATGACAAAAACATTTGTCATGAAAATATAAACTCACACTTTAAACCTGTTTGGACAGGAAAAGGAAGCAATGTTGCAGATAGAAGTCTGGGTGTGACCGCAGGAAGGACTCTCTTATTAAAATAATCATATTTAATGGGTAATTCTTTGTTCTCTTTCTCTACCTCTCTTCCTCATTACCCTACTCCTCCACCTTCACCACCCACTCTCACACTGGATGCTGGACACACTCATGTGAATGTACATGGAATAAGACCAGAGAAATAGTCAGTGCCAATTTTTAATGTGCCATTTAGATTATCTTTGTCCCAGGGATCTTTCCATCCTCTCATACAGTAAGAGAAAAGATTGGATAATGATTGGGAATTGAATAATTGCTATGAGTTTTCTTACTAATCTTATTTTGAGGAGGAAATAGGCCAGATGGTTTTTTTGTTGTTTTTGTTTTTTTAAAGAGTAGGTTTAAACTCAGTGATTACATTCCTTACTGTAGGAGACGTTACTGTTATGTTACAGGGGGCATATAATAGAATTTCAAGCTACATATATTCCAGTGCATTTGGAAAAATGAAAAAATAGAAGAAGAATAAAGTATAAGTTGAATAAATACTCGGAAATGCAAACATTTCATGTTTTCTGAAAATGCCATAATCTTTGTAAAGGGGATAGGCAACAACAGTGCTTTATATCTGTAAGAGTGTTTTATGATTTACGAAGGGTTTTCACACATGTGTTGTTTCTACCTTGGTTTTATGAGGTAGGTTCTAGTTTCAGGATTGTAGATCTGTAGCAGGGTAAAGGGGTTGTCCCTTCAATTTGTAAGTGGGAGAGTTGGGGCTGGAGCTCAGGACTTATGATTCCTGATCCAAGACACTTTCTCCAATACATAAGGCTAAAATATAGCTGTAAGTAAGGCAGTCCCAGGGCTTTTATAACAGGCTCTAGTAATGGCACTGCCACCAAAAAGCTACGGGATATTGAGCAAAGAACTTCATTTTGGGGGATGTCAGTTTGCTCAGAGAAAAATGAGGGCGGCGGTTTGGGGAGGACTCAATTAATTCCAAAGGCCGGTGCTGTCCTAGGATCCAGTGGGATGCTGAGCTGCAGGGCTCAGAGAGCTTTGCAAGCCCAGGGTCTGTGAGGCTTTGATGACAGGCAGCAATTTTATGGAAATGGTGAAACAGCAAACATCAAAAATATGTAAAACGCCTTACTTGGGGTCATTTCTGCCCTTCAGCGTTGATCAGCAGTATTAAATCTAGGGTTTCACTGCTATGGTGATCCAAATAATTCAGGCTGAAGACTTAGAAAACAAAAACAAAGTCACTTTTAAGAAGTCAGGGTATAAATTTGACAGAGATTTTTTTAAAAAAAACTAGGAGAGTTCAAGAGTGGACTTCTATATAGCAAATCACTAAATGTACATGAAAAATCTTAAGAACTTAATTAGCATATAACTGATTTAAAGATGACACTAAAAATCAATCACATTGTTGCCAATCTCAAAAAAGTGATAACAGACTAGGTAAAAGCTGAATTCAAAAGTTCCCGAACTTTTACGGCACTTGAGTGACTCATTGCTTCTTTTTCACAGCATACCTCACCCAAAAGAAATACCTAAATGTTTCAATTATTAAGTTGTTGTTAGGTTATTAGGTCCAAACACCCAAATAGTAATAATTCTCATCATGTCCAACAGATGTTGATGTGTTTCTTTTACAATTTTAAAAGATTCTGCAGTGCCCCCATGAGTAGAGTTGCCTGGTTCAATCTGACTGTCAGAGAAACAATAATTTTTTTACCGTAAGTATTTATCGAATATTGCATTATACATACACTAAAATTATTCATTATTTATCTGAAGTTCAAATTTAACTAGATGTCTTCTATTTTTCTTTGCTAAATCTGACAACCATGTCTGTCAGCAAATTCCATGTGGCTCTCTAGGGTGCCTTGGCACAAAGTTTGGAAACCACCCTTAGCCCTGGGCCAGTTTTTAGTGTAAAATTCTATGTATTTAAAGTTAATCATATACATGAGTTTTTCAAAAAAATTATTTTAAACATACTTAAATTTACCAATTTCTTTTTTTTTTTTTTTTTACCAAAATATTTTGTGACTAAATTTGCTAGTAGATATTTAGACTATGAAGAGTGGGGCTTATGTTCACTATGATGGTCTGGCTTGCACATGTCGAGGGCCAGCTATGCTGTCATTCCCCCAGTTCACCTGAGGTCACTTGAAAAAAACCCTAGGGCCAGAGCAAAGCTCCTAGTACCTTCCATAGGATTTGATTCAACAGTTGAAGCAAATGAAATTACGCTGACTTTTTTTTTTAACTCGCCAGTCCACTTTTGTTGTCTTTTATTCATAATTTTAGTCACTCATTAGGACAAAGATTCCTTCAGTTTAACAACAGAAATAGTAAATCATTATGAAGGGCAAATCTGGAGGCTTCACCCCTGTAGTGCTGCTCTAACCATTACATTGCAACTTTTGTCTTTTAGGAAGCTCGGTGGATATACTGTATACTTTTGCAAATTGTTCTGGATTGAACTTGATCTTTGGTCTAAATGCCTTACTACGAACAGCAGATTTGCAGTGGAACAGTTCTAATGCTCAGTTGCTCCTGGACTACTGCTCTTCCAAGAGTTACAACATTTCTTGGGAACTAGGCAATGGTAAGTATCCCTAGAAACTTAATAAGGAGATTGCCCTTTGGCATTATTTGTTGCTACAGACTAATGGATACAGACTATTTCTCAAATATCCATTCTTTTTAATATTAGTAAATACACTTCTGGCCGAGCTCATCCATACAGTGCACAACAGCGCAACTTTTGAAATTGCTTATGGCAGAAAACTCCTTTGTATATCCCAGAACCTATTGCTAATCCAAGTTTATGTTATGTTCGAGCTGAGGACTAAATGGAACCTGCAATTTCCACAGGTCCCAGGTTCCCTTAGGATTTTCAGGGTCACTTAGGCCTATTATGCTTGGCAGGCTGGACTCAGCAAAACTGTAAAGCAGGCAGTTTGCTTTTACCTTCCTAATCCTTTCTTTGTTTCTCAACTCGTCAGTTAATCTCAGCAACTTCATCACAACCCTCATGATATGCTCAAGCTTCAAATTCCCAGATTAGAATCCTACCTGGATCAAGCTCCTGATTGTCTTCTTCAACTCTTTTTTGCAAGGAATTTATAAACTCTAACTAAAGTGCTAATGGTTTGTCACATTCATTCAAATGTATTTATAATGCTTTCCTCACATATCAGCCAATGGAAATGAAGATAAAATGGGAAATGAGATGCGGTTATATAACAAGCACATACTATATTCTAGGCACTGTTCTGCACACTTAATAAGTATTAACTTATTTTCTCTTTATAACCACCCTAAGGTGGATACAATTATGACCTTCATTTCAGAGATGACAAAAGAAGCACGAAAAGGTTAGCTCTATAGTTGTGTGATGCTGGGCAACCTCTAGTTAGGGTACTCTTAGAGAAGTTATGGTTTGAACGCAGGCAGCCTGGCTCTGGAGCAATGTCTCTGCTCTCTTGAGGCTCCCATTCTAGAGGTAGGGAGCCAGACCAACGAGAAAATAAGCAAAGATATAATACATGTCTGTAGTGGTATGTGTTATGGTTAAGTCTAGTAACAGATTTGGGGACCAGTTTGCCAGGGGTAACGGGCAAGTCAAAGCACAGAAAAGAGAATAGAAAGGTCAAGACAACCATTTCTTAACTAAATGCTAAACAACTTTACAACAGCAATTATATAAATAATAGGTCATCCTTACACACCCCTACCTATCTCTATTCATTCCTCCCTCCCTCCCTACTTTTCTACCCTACCCACCCCTAACTCCTGCTCTCAGAGTAAGATAAAATAGTGATATCATTATTTTTTTCCCTTCCCTGGGCTGAATTTGTAAAGAGAAGGTCTGGTTTCTGTGGTGGAGGTGTATTTGGGAAGTAGATTGGACATTTTCTTTGCCCGCCTCCCATCTCTTCAGCTTTGCTACTACACACTCACCTGCACATATAATTTATGAGTAAACATTCTCACTGAGACTTTTAATTGTAGAAATCGGTTTTTAAATGTCTTCCCCTAACCACAATCTTTTTTTAAAAAAAAGCAAATTAGGTTATTAAATAATGGATACAGACTATTTCCCAAATATCCATGGCTTAATACCTCCATTATTAATCACAAATTGTTTTTAATATCACCTCATACTTCAGTTATATAATTCAAATTTTTGTTTTTCTGGAATATCTTCTTTATAACTAGACAGTTTCCTTTCCTTGACTTTGTATTCTAAGTTTTTGTAATTTGAAAAATGCTCTGTTGCTTTTATATGCTGCTTTTAAATAAGAAATTTCTAAGTAGGTGATTACTTTGAGAATTGCTCTTTCAGAACCTAACAGTTTCCAGAAGAAGGCTGGTATTTTCATTGATGGATTGCAATTAGGAGAAGATTTTATTGAGTTGCATAAACTTCTAGGAAAATCTGCTTTCAAAAATGCAAAACTCTATGGTCCTGATGTTAGCCAGCCTCGAGTAAAGACTGTTAAGATGCTGAGGAGGTAAGAGCTCGAGGAAGCAGAACCACTTTTCTTAAAAGTACTATTTCTCTCTGGTGAAGAACTCTCATTCGTCTGCCTGTTATTAAACGATTTGCTGCCTGACTAGATGGTTTACCAAAAAAGTTAACATTGACTGGCTCAGAATACCAAGGATTTGGGGGCAAATGGCACCAAAGATAAAATTTGTATCTGCATTAGGAAGTTTGTGTTTGCATGATCCTAAAGTAGTAACCAGCTCATTTCTAAGAAATAAAACTCTTGTGTGTATGTTGTGCATATAAATTATGTATATGAGAATTAAGTGATAACCTAATAGATTTTTTTGTTCTAGTTTCCTCAAGGCTGGGGGAGAAGCGATTGATTCAGTTACATGGCATCAGTAAGTATGTCTCCTGCTCTTTATACTGGCTTTACTTACTACCTAGTTTTCAAAATATTATTCCCATTTAATTGCTAATTGACTTTATAGTTGAAGTAAGAAACAAACTGTGTCTCAAGCAGCACGGTACTATAATTTTAATATGAATAAAACAAAAATTTTAACTTACTTTAAATAATGTGGTGGTTTCTACAAGATCAACGCACACTATCATTTAACTCATGGAGCGTATAAGTAGCTAAAGCCAATATGCTTGCCAAAGGACAGGTAAGCCACAAGTACCTGTACTGGTGACTGTGTCTTCTCAAGACAGAGTAACTGATCCCCTTCCATCTTGGTCTCTCCTTAGTAGAACTTCTGCCTTTTTTTAAACAAGGGGTGGAAAGAGGTAGGAAGGAGAGCAAGTTTGGCCAATTAACTTAAAAGCAAAAAGTAAAGGTTGTTTTTTTTTTTTCCCTGAATATATTTTGAATAATTAAGCTACTACTTAAATGGACGAATTGCTACCAAAGAAGATTTTCTAAACCCTGATGTGTTGGACACTTTTATTTTATCTGTGCAAAAAATTTTCCAGGTAATAGTCTTTTTTTTTCTTTTTTTAATGTAAAACCAGAGTCTTTATTCTGTAGTTTAGCCAAATTATATATATATATATATATATACACACACACACATATATATGCATATGTAATTTATATATATAATTTATATATATTATGTGTATATAATATATATGTATAAATTATATATATATATAATTTAGAACAAAAAATATAAAACACATTTATGCATTTTTCTAATTTTAGAGAACAGGCAGTAGGTCTTATTCACCGCTGCCCCCCTTAGTATTAGGTCTTATCCATGTATGTTGATTAGAAATTAAAAATATTTCTAATAACCTTTTGGCAGAATTAACTTTCAGATGCCATAAGAATGAGATTATTTACATTCCTTTCACACCTAGTATTCCAATAAAAGTAAAGTGCCCAAGAACTAAATGACTGTGAATATATTTTGTAACTATATCGGACAGATGGATCTGGGAATACAAAGTTTTGAATGTCATTAATCTTCAACACCGTAATCAGTCACTTTGTTTGCAGTTACCATGGAGACTTTCCTCTTCCATAGGTTGTTGAGGAGACCAGACCCCACAAGAAGGTGTGGTTAGGAGAAACAAGCTCTGCATATGGGGGTGGAGCGCCCTTGCTGTCCAACACCTTTGCAGCAGGCTTTATGTGAGTGAAGCAGCATTCACCTCAGGGACCAGATGCAGCATGCTCTTATTCTATTTGGTTGAGCTAGTTCAGCGGCCAAAACTCTTATTAAAGATGGTTTCTGAGCCTCAAAATTCGTTCTAGATTTTGCAAGAAAATGACTTCCTAAAACTTGACGGATACCTTTAACATGTGTCCCAAATTAATCATTGTATGAATGAATTGCTTTAGAAGTTTTATTCCTTAATTATGGCCCAGAAACATGCCAAGAATTCCTCTTCTAAAGAAGTACATTGGGAAAAAAAAGAGAGAGAGGGAGACAGAAAGAGAGAAAAAAAGAGAGAGAGAGAGAAAGTACATTGTAAAGGAATGCATCTAGAACCTTGTCTCTGAGAAGGACACATATAGTACATGTACCTACCCAGTATTTATAAATTGCCAAGAAGCCCAGTATTTATGAATTCCCAAGAAGTTTAGAGCCTGAAATATGAGGGGCTACCAATGAATTTAAAGGTTTCCATTACGACTCCATTAACACACTTAATCTCTAGTTCCATATCCTCGCATAGAGACTTATTCTCTTTCCTCTTCTACCCTCATTCTTATAAGCCCAGAATAAAGCATACAGAGAGAGGCATGAGGAGAAAAGAATGGAGATGTTTATTTTACCATTAACTAAAGATGGGGGACAAGAGGTGTCCATAAATGTTTAGGTATGATTCTACTTATTTCATGTTTTACTACTGCTGACTACCAGCAACTTTGTAGTCTTTAGATCTCACATGGAGATGGGGTGGGGGAGGAATACCCCAAAAGCCAAGGAATAACTGTCTAATTGCAGATATTGTCTTACCCTGAAGGGGATTTCCATGGCATGTTAACAATCTAGGGTTTGTTATCTTGCAGAAGTGTGGGGATATGTGAAGGCAAGAATAGTTTCCATTTCATTTGAATGACTTGTTTACAATTAATACCACTTTTCTGGTTTCTTGTTAATTCCCCCCACATAGATGAATAAATCAGAATAATATATAATTAGATTGATTTATTTTGTTTTCTAAACCTGAAGAACGCTTGGTTTCACTCTCTTAGGTGGCTGGATAAATTGGGCCTTTCAGCCAGAATGGGCATAGAAGTGGTGATGAGGCAAGTGTTCTTCGGAGCTGGAAACTACCATTTAGTGGATGAAAACTTTGAACCCTTACCTGTAAGTGACCATTATTTTCCTACTGCTGTGAGTAGATTAGAATAGGTTGAGGGCCCCTTGTATTAACTCCCTACGAACAGTCAAGCCTCTCAATAAATTCAATTTTCTCAATAAGTAACCAAGTCATGGAAAGATGAATTGGAGAAAATCTTACAGATCATCCATTCTAACATTTTTGTGTCTCAAGAGAAGAAATTGAGACCCAAGAATAAAGTTTTTTAGTGTGGACCGTTTGGGTCAAGGTGTCATTTGAAATTTTATGACTCCAGTTTTACAAGATATCAAACTTGGATCAAAAAAATGTTTTACAGTGTAAATCAAAGTTAAAATTGCCTATAGTATCCAGAGCTTTAATACTTTTTTATGTCATGAAATCATAATTTACCTTACTTTAATATATGCTAGTACCATGTATTTGTACAAAAATCTCACCCTAAAAATTGGCTATTTTGTTAATAATCTTCAAAATACTTATGAATAATATCTCATTTTCACCATACCTTTTACTGAGTCTGGTGCTAAATTAAGAAATATTTAGACAGCCTTTCTGTCTAAATAGCCACCTGAAAGATTAGATAGATAGATAGATAGATAGATAGATAGATAGATAGATAGATAGATGATAGATAGAGCTGCGAGAAACTTAAAAACCTTGATTTTTATAGTCTAAAATGTCATTTGAGGATATCTGTTTTCTAAAGATAATTCCTAAGGAAATTAGGAATATTATAGAAAAGCTAAGAAAGTTTGCAGAAAGCACATATCAAAATATAAACTAGGCTTTTGTGCTTTGTAGATAGATTTCCCAACAAAATGGTTTTAATCTATAGTGGTCCAAGCTCATGGAGCACACTGTTCATAACTTTTAGAAAATTCTCTTAAAAATGCCTTTGTACAAAGTGGAATCTCTTTCTTGAATATATTATGAACCATTTATAAAGTTAAACCAAATATAATTTCATTAGAGAAATATCCAAAATCTGTTGCTGGCCCTTTCTTAATTGGACCTTTAACAAGGAAGGTAAATAAGTAGTTTCTACAAAATTCACCTTGAGTACACTGTGTAGAAATTAGCCCGCTTATCCTGTCATCCTTTGTAAATTAGTGCCAGCTATTTGTTGTGTTATTTAAATCTCCTCAGTGCCCACACATAAATCTTTAGCTTAAGAACCATTTGTATATGGGCTAAATATACTTCTTCCTCAAGGTTCACAGTCAGCTAGAAAAACTTGCAAGAATAAATGGTACGCTTGACACCTGGAGGATCCAAGAGAATCTGCCTCAAATCCATTTTACGTGTCTGTTTTCTTATTCGATTTGCGTAACAATCCTGGAAGGTGGCAAGGCAAATAACTTAGATCCATTTTTCAGATGAGGAAGTTCAAATTGAGATGAAGACACGTGACTTGTTGGAGGTCACACAGTTGTCCTATATTACTACTGGCTCCACAGTCTGTATGCTTTCTACCCTTCCAGTCACTGAACCATGCCAAAGTTATGTCTTCTTTGAAAACATTTCATTGAATCCACTCTTGTCTCAAGTGAAAATTTGAATTTAAGCAGAGAAACAAAAGCTGTTTGACCTGTTAGGTCTAACTTTCCCTCAACTCAAGAAGGAAAAGTTGGAGTATATGTTGAGTTAGTTATTTTAAAACTTATTATTATGGACAATTTCAAAGTAGAGAGAAAGCGTATGAATCCCCAATCTTGTTTAATCTATAATCTTACCCACTCCTCACCTCCCACTTACTGGATTACGTTCAAGCAAATCTCAGATGTATCACTTCATTCACAAATATTTCATTATGTATCTTCTTTGTAAAAACATAACAAAATGTCATTATCAGAACTTAAAATATTAACAATAATTCTACAATATCATCAATTATTTAGTCATTGTTTCACATTTTCCTTATTGTCTCAAATGTTTTTAATAGTGTTTTCAAGTCCACAAGGTCTACATATTGCATTTGGTTGATATAAAAAAGTGTATTAATCTTTAAGTTCTCCCTCTCTCTTTTTTTTTGTCCTTTGGAGTTTATTAAAGAAACCAGGTAATTTGTTTTAATATTTCTCACATTCTGGATTTTGCTAAATTTATTATTCACATGTAGTATTATTAACATGTTCCGCTGCCCCCTATATTTCTTGTAAACTGGTAGTTAGAACTAGAGGAATGACCTTATTCAGATTTTGTTTTGTTTTGTTTTGCAAGAATTCTTCACTAACTGGCAATGTTATATGCTTCCATCAAGAGACATGTAATGTCCGATTGTCCTTCTTTTTTTGACCTCAATAGCTACTAGAGATGATTGTTGCCTGATCTATTACTTTATTAGGGGGTTATAAGCTTTTAAAGAAAAATATTTTAATCTCTTAAACAGATAGAACTTTTACTTTAAAAAGTCGTATGTATGTATGTATCTAAAAGTTCTGCTTTGAGCTTTGCTTTGAATTCTTGGATGTCAGACAGCAAAAAATATTTAAACTAACTCTGAACCATGAATTGTATTCTTGAGTTACATCCCCTAGCAGGCATGGACATCTGAATTGTGGAAACATAGTCCTCCAGTGATAAAAAGCAACATACAAGATATTGCCCTAGGATTCATGGGTAACACGAACCAAAAGATGAATCCTATTTAAATACCTCTAGAATAACAATCATAGTCTTTGTAGAATAGCTATTTGCTTCACATTGTTTTTGTTAAATAAAGAATTAAGTAAAGATCTATTTTTGTCCCTCCCCTTTCCAACCACCACAACTAGGATTATTGGCTCTCTCTTCTGTTCAAAAAACTGGTGGGCACCAATGTATTAATGGCAAGTGTGAAAGGTCCAGACAGGAGCAAACTTCGAGTATACCTTCACTGCACAAACATCAACCAGTAAGTATGCAACACACTCTTTACCACCCAACAAGTTTTAATTAGTAAGCACATAACTTCCTACTCTAATGCCCTGTTTTCCTCCATCTATCCAAGGGGTCTAAGCTATGTCATTGTTTTTTATGTCCATATTCATTCCATATTCATAGCGATATGGTGCCAAAGTCTAACTAAAAAATAAACAGCTTAAATATTAGCATTTGCAGTCCGGCAAATATTTTTACAATGATTTTAATTGTCATAATCTATAATAGAAATACACTCTGAATTTCAATAAATAAGGAATAGTACAAATGTATTTTAATATGAACAATTACTTCATTAAATGACTGAGTGAATATAGATATTTATATGAATGAATAATTATATAAATATACTTATGCCCTTGTATCAAATCTGATAAATTTAATAAGGAAGAAGAATTAAAAGAAGAACAATAATCTTATTCTCAAAAGTTTCGACCCAATTTCTAGCCATAGACTTTTTGTAGTCCAGTGTTCTGGTAGGATGATAGTAAAATACTAATTCTAGCTAAAATAGCCACCTACCTTATCCAATTTCTGGTGAATTGGAACTCTGGATAGCGAGGGCCCCACCAGGAAGAAGTGGGGGAATAGTTTGGATGGACAAATTCTGAAAAGTATCAATAGATTTATTTTTCTTGTTTGCTTCACTCTTTTCAAAGGGCTAGAAAAAGCCCCTGTTTATACTGTTTATAATTTGAATTCACATGAACCCACGAAGTTCACTTTTTACCATTTAACCTTTCTTTGTTGAACATGATGGGCTGAGGCGCTTCCTAGCAACTCTGCTTGGCAAAGCGACAAAGGTCTCAGAGTGCTCTAGCCTGGAAAATGGTGGTATGAAGAGCAAAATCATGTTTTCAAAAAGGACCACATCAGTATTCTTATATTATCATAAATATAAGGATAAAAAGGAAGGATAAAAAGAAGGCCCATCATCATTATAGATACTTAGTATCCACAGTTATATTTGTAATCAAATTTTTAATTGCTTAAATTTAATAAATATTTTTATTGAATTAGTCTATTTGCTTTTAGCCCAAGGTATAAAGAAGGAGATTTAACTCTGTATGCCTTAAACCTCCATAATGTCACCAAGCGCTTGCAGTTACCATATTATTTATTTGACAAACAAGTGGACAAATACCTTGTAAAACCTTCAGGACCTGATGGATTATTTTCCAAGTGAGTAATTTTTCTTGTTCATTTCAAACTTTCATAAACACCAAATGTCTTGGTGTTTATCAGAACAGAGAGTATTGATAGGGAGAAAAAGCAAGTCAATTATTTGAAATCTGACAATTCTTAATATTCAGGAAGTTTATATATGAATACTTATTAATACAGCTTTAACTTACTCTGAGAGTCCAAAGCAGAAGGATATGAACACAAACTAGCAGTTATCTAAGGAATAGTTTGCATTTCAAAACGACTTGATACATCAAGACCCACTCAATGCATTTAGATGATTTGCTCTAAAAAGATTTATAATTCTTGGTAACACTGTCACTAAAGCAAAATATACCTATATATAATTGCTATTAAAGGCATGGTGGTTGGTGTAAAATATTATACTATGTGAGCTTGGTATGATTCTCTTATAGATTAAAGTAGTTTTCATTAGTTAGAGGAAGAAAAAAAATGGCCAGAAATGTACCTTTTATGTGGATCATTTAAAGTTAGTTCAAACACATTTTGGTTTTAAAAGCCATGTCTTATAAAAGATCATATTCAACAGAATATCCAAGAATGACTATGAGCCTTGATGAGTTAGGCACACAAACATTGTCAGATTTTTGTCCAATATGTGTTAGAAGGTGCTCTCTTCATCATGACTATTCTCACTTTGGAACATAAAAAATTAAGAGTTTACAAAATTCTCACCATCTCCTCCCATCTTCGTAAGTATTATATGAGTGATATTTTCAGTGACAATTAGCATCATAACCTGAAAGAGGACAGTAAGCATGCTTTCTCCAAAGTCCTGCCCCCCATAGAAAAGCATTATTAACACTGGATACCATTCCTTTATTTTTCCCTATGCTTTATTTTACTATAACTATAATCATAAAACTTCTCATGGAAAAAAGGGAGAGGGAACCCACAAATTTTCCCAAGTGTCTTTCCATATATAGACATTATAGACATTAATAGAACTGCATGTTTTATAAAATACCTTGGCTTACTCACCCATTTTTTTCTACTGTTTAAACCTTTTTCCCCTTGTCATAAATAATACATGTCTGGGTAACAGATACTTTCCTCTATTTGGGTTCTGACTCTTTTTGAAATGGGTATTTTTAGCATATTTGTGTCCAATGCTCATAAGAGAAAAGCTTTTCTGAAGTAATTGAATAATCACTATAGAGTTGGAAGTGTCTTAAGAGATCATTTTAGTCTACCCTTAGATAGGTGGTGAGGACATTGAGCTCTGTTTAATTCCTCCTCTGTTGGAGCTTCCAGCCTCTTTGGTGGCTGTTATATCTGGCAAGGATAAAGTGAGGCTCTCTGTGCCTTTTCTCTGCTGCTCTTACTTTTGTTCTCTAGGGCAGAGGTTGGAAACTATACCTCATGCCTGTGGACAAGTTGGTTTAGAGGATTTTTTTTTCTTTTTCCAGTAGGGGAGACTGACATTCACTCTTTTTATTTTTAATTAGTTGTCAACATTTAACAGTTGACAATTACTAAAATATCTGGGTTTCTAGCTTTTCTTTAAAAATGGGTACTCTAGCAACTCTGGGCTTGTTTCCTCAACTAGATGGAGCTGAACTGGGATTGTGTACTTTAGACAGGTCATTCGGCTTTTTATTTCTCTTTTGTCCCTATGTGACCCTGTTATCTTATGCCTGTCCTACTGCACTTGCATATGTAACTTCCTTGGCCTTTGTGGGTATTTGAGTTTGCTACTCTTAATCTGAAACAATGCCAGATAACTCATTTTCTCCAGAATAATTCTCAACTATTTGAAAACAACTGGATTGTCTTCCAGCTCTATTTCATCTGAAACTTCACAAGCATGTCTTCTATTTCTTCATCGTCATGTTGCTTACTTCAAAATATGAAACAAGATACTACCCTCAAGTAAAACCCTAACCTTATTGCCCACCCTGATACAGAAATAATCAGCATGCTTTAAGCTTACACTCCGTACACTGGTAGCATCCTTTAGCTGTATATATAGCTGATTAAACAATATAGCCCGATGGTATTAGTATTTTGCCCATGTTTAGGCATCTTAACCCACAGCAGAATTAATTTACAATGATTAGATTTACATTTAAACTCTGTAGCCTCTTCAAAAGTACTTCTGAAACATTTTGGTGTACCCTTGTTAATGATCCTCAATGTCATGCATAATAGCTCTTACTGTCATGTAGAGATGTTTTCAAAACCTATTTCTGTTTGTGGTTTCCTGGTGATGGTCATGGCATTTCCTCCTCGAGCTCATCTAAAAACTGATGTGATACAGGCATGAAAGCAAACCCTGGTGCATGTGGACTAAGTACAAACGCAATGCAGGCTGTTACCTGCCAGCACAAACGTGGGCATCTTATTGATGTTTTAAGGTACAAAGCCCAGAGCTGGACCTCTAATCAAGGTTAAATGGAACCCAGTTTTTCTGCTGACTGATATTTAATGAAGATAAAGTATAAGAGATATTTAAAAATAGAAACTTTATAATAATGCTAAATTAGAAATGACCAAATATGTAACATTAGGCCATAACATAAGTAAATAACTAGTATACTCACACCATGGAATCCTGTGCAGCCTTTAAAATGATGTAATGCTGTGAGCAAATATTTAGATGTGATAAGGGAAAAAGAATCTAGTTTAAGAGACTATGTATAATATACCCATTTTGTTTAAATTAAAATACATATGTATTATGCATGCGTAGAAAAGAGATGAAGGAATATACATCAAAATATTAAAAATAGTTATAATAATTTAACAGGTTGCTTTTGTTATGTTTATTTCTGAATAATAATGGTGATAACACTTTTGCAGTGCTTGCTACATGCAACGCACCATTTTAAGTGTTCTACATATATTACATGAATTACATATATGACATACATATAACTCTGACTTTAACTAATCTTCTAAATTTTCAACAATAAAAAAGTGCTAACTTTTTTTCACAATGTTAAAAGCATTTGAGAAAAAGATAATTTAAATTCCATAATTTAAAATTCCATAATTTAAAATTATAGAAGTAACTGTAGAACCAAAAGGAAACTAAAGCTTTCTTCATGAGCTCTTGTTTATATTGCATTTGTTGCTGTGAACATGCATCATTTGATTTAAAAATAATAAATGTGCATAAGAAATAACATTTGTGCTTAACATTTTCTTCCATTTTTTGACTTAGTTTTGAATTTGAATTCCAATAATGAAATGCAAAAAAATAAATAAATAAAACAAAATTTTTGGAATCTATGGTTTAACCAAACAAAATCATTTCTATTTCACCACTGCAGTATACATTCTACCAAAATATCTTAACAATATAAGAAAATGAATGCATATCTCCTGGGGAAGGGGAGTTAGAAGATTATGGCCATAGTTACAAGTAGGAAATTTCATTGACTGTCATTTTTTAAGTTTGTAAAATTTACATTTTATTCTATATATTTGCTTTATATAAAAATGTTTTCAACTATTTGCTATCAAATAAAATTGCCACAAATCCAGAAGTTATGTCATATTTATCCTTTTTATTCTTCCATTCTATTGCCTAGTATAGATTACATGTATTCCCTTTTCTGTAAAGGGCCAGATAGTAAATATTTCAGGCTTTGCAGGCCATATGGTCCCTGTCAAAACTATTCGACTCTACCAAAGTAGTTTAAAGATCATCTAAGTCAAATGCCTAACTGATATAGTGTTGAATATAGTTATGTAATATTAGCTGCTACAAAACATTTTTTTGGTCTTAAAAAGATCTTGCAACTTTTATAGAGAAGGTGGAGCATGCAAAACTTCACTAACTTGGACATCTTTCCATTTTGCAGATCGGTCCAACTCAATGGTCAAACTCTGAAGATGCTGGATGATCAAACCTTGCCAGCTATGACAGAAAAACCTCTTCGCCCAGGAAGTTCACTGGGCTTGCCAGCTTTCTCTTATGGATTTTTTGTTATTAGAAATGCCAAAGTTGCCGTGTGCACTTGAAAATGAAAGGCATATGCTAGCCCTGAGATTGAATTTTCAAGTGTATTGATAAAAGGAAAGCAAAAATCAAGCTGCAGGAAAGCAAGCAGATACATTACAAATCACCTCGTGGGAACTTTGGAGGCACCGGGACACTCTCAGTGCTATATAGCACAGTATATTGTTTTCTCTAAGTAGACCACTACAAATAATAATACCTTATGCCAAACACTATGCCTGTACTTTGCATGTACTATTTTTATTTAAGCTTATTTAAAATGTATATGAATGCTCCCAATACAGCCAGGATGCAAGTAAGTGAAGGATATATTATTAGTTTTAAGAAAGTGCTTAGTTGTTTTTATTTTAAAAAACAGTTACTAGAAGGCTGTCAGATTCTTTCCTCCACAACCTTCAAATTGTTTATAAAAGAAGACCATCTCTTTGCACCTTAACAGTGAGCTAGATTCAGCTGCTGCTTCTCTTCTCATATAACTGAAATTGATTTGCCAAGAGGAAAAATTTAATTTAATATATTATTACCATCTGTTAATGTTTATTTTTGTTCTACCTTCAGTTCTTGTTTTTGTTTGGAAGCTTTTGGCTGCAAGTAACAGAAAACCCTGATTCATATGGCTTAAACAATAAGGACATTCATAATCACAAATAACAAGAAGTTCAAACGGGGTAGGCTCCACAGCTCATATGTCAGCAGGGAACCAGGTTCTTTCCATCTCTGCTCTGCTACCTTTAGTATTGGCTTCATTCTCAAGCTGGTAGCATGATAGGTGTAGCTATTCCATTCAGACTTGGAAGCATCTGGAGAAAATAGATGAGCAATTTTTCTGTGTCTCCTTCACAGACTTGAACCCTTTCACAGAGGCTCTCCAGCAAACCTCGCCTGGTATTTCCTTATGTCTTATTGGTTAGGAATGGGACACATGGCCATTCTCCCAGTGACTGCCAACATCAATAAGATTCTTGTAATTATCTGCTAGTAATCTTTTGGAATGGAGAGTGTTAGGAAGTTTGTAGCACTGACCTCTACAGTTCTGTGCTTTTATCAGTGACAGAATGTATTATTTTCTCCTGTATCTTAATTTTTAGAAATATAATCCTCTCTATATTTATGCCTCTATGAATATTGTCTGAATTAAATTGGATTACGTTTATAAGGAGCTAAAGCTAGAACTTAAAGTTTGGATGTTTGAATACCCTTAAATTTTATATGTAAGTAGTTTTTACATTTTCACATTTGAAATAAAAGCAATTTTTATAACCTCAACATCACCTGATTATGCTTTTAATAAAGCTTAAGCCTACAGATCCTTACATTTGGAAGGCTTATTTTTCTTCACTGTGTTGTTTACACCTCCTATTTTTATTTGTCCTTTCAGTCTCCCTAACGCCAAAAAAGTTGACTTTGAAGAAAAGAGATCATCAGGTACAAACACAATTTTTTCCCTCGGCATGTAGATTCAATCATGATCAAAGTCTTGTCCTGTCTGGTTTTTTTTTTTCCTGTCTTCACTGACATTTAATAAATTCAAGGTATAATTTTCACTTGTATATTAATAATAATCATCATCCTCTCCTAATTATTCTGCCTGACTTTGCTTAAAAGTCTTAAATGGCTTCCCCTTTCTTATAGGCACACAGGTCCTCCATAACCTGGCACCTGCCTATTTCTTCCACCTCAGCTCTTGTCATTCTCTCCATAAATTCTGTTTTCCACCCATATAATGGTTGAGAAGTCTGAACATACAGCCTCTTTTACCTTTTGCTTCTGTACCTTTGGTGCTGCTCCTTCTGCTCTCTACTTGGCCTATTCTAACTCTCTTTTCTATACGGCAAACTTGCACATTTACTAAGACCCAGCTCAAACATCAGTTCCAATACCTCTCCTATCATTCAAGTAGCTCTAATTATATTTCTTTGCTCCTATAGCTGTTTAGACATTTACCATGACACTTACAATGCATCTTGCAATTATGTGTATAGATACACATAATTGTATCTATATATATCTTTCTAACTTCACTTTAAGCCAGTAAGAAAAAAGTACAATATCTTAATCATCTTTGTATTCCCTGTGCTTAGCATATTTTCTGGCCCACAGTAGCCACTCAGTTGTTTCTTTAATGACAGAAAAAGAACATTCAAGTTTGAAACTAGCTTAGGTATTTTGATTTTGTATATACAGAAAAATTTAATGATGTTTTAAACCTGCAAATGTATTGTCTGCTAACTTTAAAAAGTCTTTTAAAAATTATCTCTAGTGAGCCCTTACTGATGGTGAATGGTTATATGAAGACTGAGGGCATGGTTATGTGAAGAAAGGAACGTTCTCAGTTATATTTTAGTGAATATTAAATGCATTATTATTAAGGTTTACTTAAACTTCCTTAAAGGAAGCTCTCACCTGTAGCGTCGTCATTGAGACTTTTTGAGTCCACACGTTTCTATTGGTATTTAAACAATCAAATATATTTACTATCTGCAACTTATTATTTTAATTTTGTCTTAGTTTCACCCTTGTGGTTCACTTCATCTCCATGAGAATGGGAATTTCCAAGTTCTGTTGTAAAAATTACGTGTTCAGGGCTTGTCAGTTCTGTAGTGTGCCCATTTTCTTTTTCTTTCTTTTTAAAAAATTCTGGTGTGTTGAATCAACCTGTTGAATCACCTCATGGATGATGAGTCTCTTCTAACCAGAATTATCCTTCTAACCAGAATTTTGACTGCCAACAAAACTAACATAAGCACCCATCTGTTTATCAGACAATACAAAATGAAAGGCGGAATGTTTAAAACTAAATTTAAATAGCAGTGGAATGAATAATTAGTTTCTTTGGGAGCTGAAGGGTAGGGTGGAAGGGGGCTTGAACAACACAAATTTATTATTCTGTAGTTGTATAGATTAGAAGTCCAACACAGGTCTCACTGAGCTAAAATCAAGGTGTCAGGCTCTTCTTTTCTTGAAGCTTTAGATGAGAATCTATTTCCTTGCCTTTTTAAGCTTCTAGAGACCACCTACATTCCTTAGTTCAAGGCCTCTTTCCATCTTCAAAGCTAGCAGTGACAGGTCAAGTCCTCACAATGCATCGCTCTGACCTTCCATAGTCACATCTCTTTGTGACTCTCTTCTGCCTCCCTCTTCCACTTTTAAGAATCCTGGTAATTACATTGTGTAATCCAGGATGAATAATTAGTTTCAACTATACATATCCTTGGTGACCTTATAGAAAATGTTACTGATGACTGGTTCATGTATTATATGCCTTAGAAAAACATAACGTGCAAATTCCCATTCTCACTCCACCCCTAGGTCAGATATTTGGGTTTGTTTCCAAGACTCCTCTCTTGTTCTTTTTTAATTTTATACCATTCTCAATTTTAAAAACTTACGGGTTGGAAAGCCCTAGAGCAATTTAGGTACTTAAATATTTAATCTTCCCTTTTATTACTATTAAATGCTATAGGTTTTATGACATGTTAATTTAAGTTGAATTTGTTCTTTCCTTATTTTCACATATTTGATCATAGTCCATTAGTTTCTGAATTGTTTTTTTTTAGGTTATTTTATTACATGCAACTTATGTATTTATTTAGATACCCATAGACATTTCAAAGGACAATAACAAATCTAGCTTATCTGATTCTGCAGCACTCCAAACTTAATAAGGAAAAACTGCATGTTTAACAGATTCTTCCTAAACACATTTCATTAAAAAACCTCTTATACATCTAATAAATCACAAACAAATTTAGTATATCAAGTTCTCTAAGCATTTAAACATCTTTAAAAAAACAAACAAGTTATAGTAAAAACTATATAGCTTGCATAAAAGTATTACGTCTTCATCCCAAAGTTATGAATTTACTCCCTTAGCCAGAGTTAACGATTACCGATTCAGGCCCGCTTCACCAAGTAAGGTAACAATCAGGTTTTTGATTAGAGAGTCTAGAAACAGGATATAGAATGACCAATGTGTTCGTTAAGTTCAACTCCTTCTTATGGTTAGGTGGCAGAGGTGGGGTCATCCAAAGTAAAGCCTAAGACAAGGACTTGTGGTCAGGTATTTTACTTGGGAGGTGATCTCAGTAAGCAAGCATGAGCGATCAAGGAGAGTGAGACGGAGGAGAAGGAAAAGCCAATGTTAAGATTTACTGTTTAGTTTGCTGAGACAGGCAATGACAATGCAGTTCTACCAGCACTGCAGGGAAGCTCATGGGATGCCTCTCTTATTATTCTCATATTTCTTGGCAGCTATCATTTTATAGTCACTTTATTGTCAATTACAATTTCTATAAAGAACAGCAGCTTCACATAAAATTGTTTTAAGGCCTGAAGCGATTATAGTTATTGATTGTACTATTTAAACTTGAAAGTCACTTTTACACCTTTAATAGCCTGTGTTGGGAAACAAACGATTTTTTTTAATCTAAAACATTTTCTCTCTGACCCACCCCAAAATCAGATGAAACATAGTAAATAAGTAAAAATCGTTCCAAAGATCAAATATTATAATGAATTTAGAAGTGTTCAGAAATGTAGATCTATAAAAATTAAGTATATATATAGAATGTATTGATTGATTTATCATTAAACAAATATTTGTGGAATGAATGAATTTATTCACCATCTACTAGGTAATATTACCTGTATTAAGCAGTTTTCCGGAGAAACAAAACCAATAGTGTGTGTGTATATATAGATATAGATAACATTTCTAAAAGATCACTAAAGAAAAGAAGTTAAAACTTGTTATTCATTCCACTACCATTTATTTTTAGTTTTAAATACTCCTCTTTCATTTCATATTGTATTGTGAGATAAACATATATATTTGTGTATATATATATGTATATATTCCAATAACGTGTATGTATATACATGTGTGTGTGTATAGCTTACTTTAAGGAATTGACTCATGCGATTATGGAAGCTGGCAAGTCCAAAATACACAGGGTAGGCCAGCAGGCTAGAGACTCGGAAAACAGCTGATGCTGCAGTCAAGTTTGAAGGTCATTTACTGCTTTAATTCTTTCTTGCTTGGAGGAATTCAGTCTTTTGTTTTATTCAGGCCTTCAACTGATAGAATGTGGCCCACCCACATTATTGCAGGCAATTCGATTTATTTAAAGTACCTGTTAAAATCATCCATAATATCCTCACAGAAACATCCAGGTCAGTATTTGACCAAATATCTGGGCACCATAACCCAGCCAAGTGGGCACATAAAATTAACCATCCCAATTCTTATGGATAACTTTTAAAAAAGCAAACAGAGTCCCTTCCCCTAGGGACTCATGATCCAGGGTGAGAAATGAGAGTCTTGTAGGTTCTTTTAGAGATAACCCAGTCTCTGCTTTTTCTAAAGAGTTTATAGTAGTTGAGTGCCTTCCCCAAGAGCATACATACAGTGCCTTGGCAACAGTGTCTGAAAATTGTTTAAGTCTAACCATTGTAAGTCAGGGACTTCTGTAGTCTTTGTGTTCCCTAAGAATAGGATTTTTTCTCCTTGATGTGCCCTGTGATAAGCATAGTGCTTTCATGATGCAAGAATTCAATAAATATTTTGTTAAATTATTTAGTCTCTTTGAGTTTACAATCAAAATGAGCAAAACATTCAAATTAGTGTAATACAAAGAGAAATTACTTAAATTCCGTAAAAGAGATAAAACAGTTCTATTAATGTTTCAGAAGAGGAAAATATCTTATATAGTTGTAAGATTATGTCTAAAATTCTAAGTGCCATGGCAGTGCTAAAGAGAAGATGCTGCTCTCTTGTGTAAGCTTCAGTGGAGGACAGTGTGGACAAACAATAACAAACTCAGAAACTCAGTTTTCACCTTCATCCTGGCCCCAAAATTCAGCTCTAAGGTTCTTTCTCCTACTAAACACACAAACACATACTCACTCACTCTGATGGCAAGTCTAACGATTCCTCTCAAGTAATGAGCCCACCAAGGAAGCTAGAAGAAAACTTGCTCCAAATAAGGGCACTCCCACTGATGGTGAGAATTGCAGGACCAGGTCTGGAACTAGCACCTATGCATCGAGTTGCAGAGGAAGATCTGGACACTATGAAGTTCCAGTTTTCTCTGTATCTCCCATGAATTCTTTTCATCAGAGACCAGACAATATACAGCATTCTTCTAAATTTAAATTTTCTAAAAATGATGAAAAGGAAAGGAAAAGGCTGAATCTTTCTCTCAAAGGTGAATCTTTACCCCAAATCTTTTTGAGAGGCTTCCAAGAAGTATAACTAAGACTCACATCTCATAGATATTTTTCACTTTGGGGACAATCTAAGTACTTGATATGCCTACAGAAACCCATCTTTCCAAAGGCTAAGGCAATATCTTGGTTGTGCTGGAGTTCGAGATGTCTTTGTTGAGTTTGAGAATCCAGATTAAAAGGGATGAACCCGTTAAAAGATAAACTCAGGCATATTAAACATTTAAGAGTTTATCTAAGCACATAGCCATTTGAATGGGGCAGTGCCAAACTGGAAGTGGTTCCGGCCAGTCTGCTGACCAGAGGCAGGCGGGGCGGGAAGATATACAGAAAGTGCAGAAGCAAAGAAAAAAAATTATTTGATTGGCTACAGCTTAAAGCCTAGTTGACTGGCTGTCCTTAGCATTCTGATTTCATAACTTGGAGGCATTTACAGGTTGAGGTTTTTGCTTATGTAGACCATCGGGGCATTAGAGTCACCTCAGTCTAACTTGTTTAATTAATTTAAAAAACACACGGATGAGGACGGCTGCTGGATGGTCAGGAGGCCCCTCCATCAATGCTGGCTCTTGGTCTAAATATTTTACCTGCACCCCAACCACAGGAGACACACAATGAAGACCCAGATTCCTGAGTACCATTATCCCAGGACCAATACAGCCTCAGAAACACTCCACTGTCTTCTAACAAAACAGGACTGCAGTAACTCCCGTCTCTCTGCAGTAGATCCAACCCAGCAAAATATTGTAACTTTTATAACTGGAGAAGGATAAGTAGAAAACGTCCATGCCAGATGGCTGAGTTGGCAAGGGCTGCCATTTTAGAACTCTCCTCATACCCAGAGGCAGGCTTGCAAATCACTAACTGAAATATTTCTGACATCAGTCTATTTATTTTGGCTGAAGACTGGCAGTCTCTGGGTTCAATAGGTTTTTTGCATGTTTGCTTTTTTTTTTTTTTTCCCCTAGGACTCCCTACAGGGCAAAAATGACCATGCTACTCCCTATTTCAAGTTACTCTAAAAGCTCAGACCACAGCGCCGCCGGGACCGGACAGGTACGGACAGGCATCCCGCTGACGTCACTGCGCATGCCTAAACGTGACCAGGCGCCCTGGAACTAACGTCAGGCCCTGCGGGGGTCACGCCTTCCGAGCGCCATGCTGAG